GACTCCTTTGCTGGATCCTCTTCCATATACCCTCTAACCATACGTGTCCTTCAGGGTTTTGTCCTGGGCCCTCTTCTTTCTCTATACTACTTCATTTGGTGATCTCATCAGCTTCCATGGATTTAATTATCATCTCTATACTGATGATTCTCAAATTACCTCTCCTGACCCAATCTCTCTGCTGACCTCCAATCTTGCATCTCCAACTGCTTCTCATATCTTAAACTGGATGTTCGGTAGACATCTTAAATGCATCGTGTCTAAAGCAGAACTCATTATCTTTCCCCCTAAATCCTCCCCACTCCTAACTTCCCTATTACTGTAAAGGGCTACACCATCCCTCCCAGTCCCTCAGGCTAGCAACAGGGAGTCATCTTGGATTCCTCATTATTTCTCAACCTCCCCCCACTCCCAAACCCATCCCATATCCAATCTGTTGCCAAAGCCTCTTGATTTTATGTTTGTAACATCTTTCAAATATGTCCCCTTCTCTCCTCTGATTCTGCTACCGTTCTAGTGCAGGCCCTCATCTCTTCACATTTGGATTGTTGCAATATCCTGCTGGTGGGTTTTCCTGCTCCTGTCTCTCTGAACTCCAATCTACTCTCCATTCAGCCACTAAAGTGATTTTCCTAAAGTGCAAGTCTGATCAAGTCACCCCACCCCCTCAACTCAATAAACTCCAATAGCTCCCTATTGCCTCCAAGAGCAAATACAAAATGCTCCATCTCGAATTCCAAGCTCTTCCTAGCCTAGGCCCCTGACCTTTCCAGTCTTCTTACACTTTACTCCCTGACATTGGTCTCCTGACTGTTCCATAAACAAGATATTCTATCTCTTAGCTCTGGGCATTTTCTCTGGCTGTCTTCCATGCATGGACCACTCCCACTCCTCGACTCCACCTACTGCTCTTCCTGGTTTCCTTTAAGTCCCAACTAAAATCCCATCTTTTACTAGAAGATTTCTCCAACACTTCTTAATCCTAGTGCCTTCCCTCTGATAATTATTTCCTATCTATCCTATTTGTAATAGTTTGCTTTGTATATATTTGTTTGCATGTTATTTCTCCTATTTGATTGTAAGCTTCTTGAAGACAGAGACTGTATTTCGATTATTTTTGTATCCCCAGCACTTAGCACAGTGCCTGGCACATAGTACAAGCTTAAAAAATGTTGACTGATTGAAGTCATTTAATCTCTTTGGGCTTCAGTTCCTCATCTGAGAGGGTGCTGGATTAGATCATTTCTAAAGTCCCTTCTAGCATCTTCTGATAGTTTCTAACAGGTACCCAAGTTTCCCAAAACATTAGCCAAGGATCAAAGAGTAATAGGAAATGAAAACAAAACTACCAAAAATCCCTTAATATGCCCAACTATGTGTGGCCTTGGATGTGGCTCTTGCTGTTCAGTCATTTTTCAGTCATTTCCAACTTATCATGACCCTATTTGGGTCAAATGGGCAAATTGGCAAAGATAGTGGAGTGACTTGCCATTTCCTTCTCCAGCTCATTTTACAGATGAGGAAAGTGAGACAGGGTTAAGCGACTTGCCCTCCATCACGCAGCTAGTCATTGTCAGAGGCCAGATTTGAACTCTGCAAGATGAATCTTCTTTGACTCCAGGCTGAACACTTCATCCTCTCACCTACTTAGCTGCCCCAGGGCAAGACTCTTAATCTCTCTCAATATCATTTTCCTCATCTATAAAATGGAGATGGTAAGACCTGCTTCCTGGAGGTTGTTGTGAGGATCAAATGATATGATATGTGAAGCCCTTTACTAACCTTCAAGGGCTATATAAATGCTAATTCTCATTATTAATTAATTATTAGACCACTTAACTATCATTATTAATTAATTATTAGACCACAGTGGGACTAATCGGCAAACTTGTTCAAAAATGAACTAGCCAACATGTTCTTGTCTTAAATAACTAGCCACACACAGTGTAGGTAGAGAAGAACAAGAAATGTCCTCCCACAGCCTTTGAGGCAGCTGGAGGGTGGCTTGAGTGGGGAGATCCCAGATGGTACAAACTTAAAGTATAAGCATGGAGACAGTGAGCATACCCAGGAAATATTAATGGACACTTGCTCCTAAGTCACTCTGTTTCTCTTCTGCCCAGCATGAACAGGCTGCAAGAAAATGCCAGACTCCTTGTTTTTGTTATCATTTCTGCTGACACAACCTTAGAACATAAGGACTCCTTCCTGAGGGGATACACTATGGAGAATACTGCTCTTTCCCATCAGCTTCCATTTTTGTTGTTGTTCAGTCGTCTTCAGTTGTGTCCAACTCTTCATGACCCCATTTGGAGTTTTCTTGCCAAAGATATTTGGAGTGATTTGCCGTTTCCTTCTCCAGCTCAATTTGCAGATGAGGAAACTGAGGCAAACAGGGCTAAGTGACTTGTCCAGGGTCACATAGCTAGTAAGTATTTGAAGCCAGATTTGAACTTAGGTCTTCCTGATTCCAGGCTTGGTGTTCTATCCACTGCACCAACTAGCTGCCCATATTGATGCTTCTATCTAGTTTATTTTCCTGACTCAGTTTTTTCTATGCCTCACAATCCACAAAAAATTTATCTTCTTTTTCTCCCTCCTTTCTATTCTCTAAGTCTTCTCTCCTCCTGCTTGACTACTCAAGGAAGTAGATTGCTTCCATTAGTTTCCTGGTTCTAATCAAATTATACCTTTAGTGGTTCTTTGACTTCCGCTTCTATTCCGGGGTTCTTAACCTATTATGTGTCATACATATAATATATCTATCTATCTATCTATCTATCTATCTATTATATGTCACACATATAATATATATAATATGTCATACATATAATATATATATTATATACATATAATATTAGACTAATGTTTCTAAATGCCTAAAATAGCATTATAGAGGAAACCAAAATATGGTTATCAAAATATTTTTAATTCATTAACATCCGGTTAAGAACCCCTCTTATAAGAATGTTTCAATTCAGTTTTAACACATAAAAACATCTCTCCTGTTACTTACCACTCTTTTTCCTCTAGGTCTATGGACCCCACTAAGCTTCTCCTTTATTATTCACTCCAGGCCCTGATAACTTATTCCTTATAAATTAGCACATACAGGTATAGTCATTTACTTTAAATACACGGAAGAGTTATAGAGTTTCTCCAAATAGCTAATTCCAGGACACTGATTTTTAGACTGGTCTCCTTTCAGAGTTGTGCCCTAGGGGACCATGCAGGGCAGACCCAGACAGTGAATGGAGTGAGGAAAAATATTTCATTTTCCCCTTCCCACCTGTACCTCCCACACATACCCAGAATGTAAAAATACCCTGAGCATTTCAGTATGCATTTGCATAAATCTGTTTCCAAGGGCATGGGAAAAAGAAGGAAGTGGGGAATTAACACTTCGAAACATAGACTAAGGAAACATATGAGACTAAACAAAACAAATTTTGATCACATACCTAAAAAGTTCCCTCAATATCAAAGCTTCCATAATTTCCAATCTTTTCTATGGTCCATTTATTTTATCCTTTCTCATATCATTGTTATCCAGACATATACTTTTTTTATCATAAAAAAATGTCAATGCTGTTTTATAAAGAAACTACATGTACAACCAATTAGAGAAATTCACATCCTTTGCACCCATAGTTGTTGATCAAGAAAGAAATGCTTTCAGTGTTTATATGTGTCTTTGATTATATAGAGAAGTAGAAGGGGGTGAGGAGGAAATTGGTACAACTTTCTGTAGGCATACCCCTACTTAATGTTATTAATTGGTTCCGTGAAAGCATGAGGTTAGGATAATGTTATGGGGATATTTAGTTCCAAGGAACAATGTTATAAATAGGAGATATGTTCCTGGGAAACCAAAATTAAGGTTATAAACATTCCTCCATCTCTAACCTGAGTGCCAATGCCATACAATAATAGATGTCAACTTCTGCCAATTGGCTGGAAGATAATGTTATTGAAAATAAGATACAATTTTAAATTTCATATGGCTGAGTTAGTTTCTCAATGTCCTGAGGCTGGCTAGCTACCTTACAAATATGCTGAGAGTCACAAGGTCAGGGAGAAAAATGACTCTGAGTAGCCCAATGCAACCTGTCAACACTACTCTAACAAACAATTCAAAATACTAATCCTAAAGAGAGTAGGTCAGTAGCCCTCAGCATACATGTCATATCCCGTGATGTAAGGAAACCAGTCTGTTCACTTAAAAAAACAAACATTAAGATGGATTATTCAAAACCAATAAAAATGTTAACATGTTTTGCAGGAATGTGGATATGAAACGATTTGCATTTATTATCATTATTCACATTTATAAATGCAATAATAAGACTCAAAGGATACTTGTGAGCCTCAAAACTGGGATTTCATGAGAGAGGAAGATATGAGCTATGTGTGAGAAATATGAAGAAAAATGGAAAGATCTCTATGAAACAATACAAAATTAAAAAATAAAAACCTTGAACTGACCATTGATTATGACCACACAAGAGAAAAAAAAATGAATGGGAATGAATGCTCAGAGAATCCTGACAGAGACTTAGGATCAGAATATTTCATGCATGGAAATTAAATTTAAATTTAAATAGTTACGAAACAAGTTTTATTGACATTAAGCTTATCATCAGAAAAAAAGAAAATAGGAGGAAGGCTATGAGAATCAATGGGTACTGTTTGGTTATTCTGCTCATCTGAAGTCAGAGGCAACCATAATATCAACTTTGAAAATCAGGGACACATGCCCTGAGTTTCATCATTGGGGTCATAACCCATGGAATGTATATACTTATTTAGTAGAGTAATGTCTAATACTTAATAGGCAGATATTGCGAGCTTATGGCTCTTTTTCTTTTCTCTTCTTTTTTTTAAGCTATGGTCAGTCTCTCTGCAAATCACTTCTTTTTCTACCAAAGACCCACAGATTAGAAATAAATTAATTACAGTATCTTCATGAGAGAGAAGAAGTGTATAACATATCCCCTCACCTTCACACCAAGGATTGAAGAGAATGTAAGTGTCAGTTGCTGGATTTCTGTTTGTTCGGAAGATGCCATAGGGTGTCCAGACGGCAATATACATGCGGAACTTCCCCACAATGCACTTTGGGGAGGATTGGACAGACAGGCGGACAGACCGGTCCTCTTTCAAAATTATCTTTGCTCCCCACTTTCCACTTCGAAACTCTGACACGATGGGAACAGGAATGTAGGTCCCTTTATTTTCCTGAGGGTAGCGACCTATTAAAAAAAAAAAAGAAAGAAAGAAAGAAAATGTAAAAAGTAGAATTCAGTAAGAATTTTCAAGCTGCTCCTACTTTACATGTACACTGTGCTTAGCAATGTAAAGAGACACAACTGGGATGAAAAAGCAGGAACACAGAATTTTAGTTATCATGAGACTATCTTCCCATTAAACTGTGCCCTTAGGAGGACAGTAAAGTAAGAATTTTGAGCCTTATTCTCAGCTCCAGTGGTGACTTGATGTCTCCATAAATGAATCAATTTTGTATGTCTATGCTAATCTGTTATGAGCAGAATCTCCCATTCTTTGAGGACTTTCTTTTTCAAAAATACACAGATAAATATTCATCTTCCTGCAGCAAGCTGACATGGATAGAATCTCAATTTTCACTAAATTGGCTTTATTACTTAAAATCAATTTCCCATTCTACCAGAGCAGGAGATTCAGCAGTTTTGGTCCCTTCCCTCTCTGTGGTGAATTGGTACCTGACAAGAGCTGTGTTCTCTCCCTTTTTGCAGAGGTGGGAGACTATGAGTATGGAATATTTCCTATTTTTTCAAACATGATTGATATGTTAGTTGGTTTTATTTAATTAAAAAAAATGAAAAGGTGGCTTTCTGGTGAGGGGAAGAGTTTTATTCAGATATTAAGGTAAGATAGAAACAAAAGAAATTCACAATAGGCAGCAGGGTGTAATAGATAGAGAACTGGCCTCAGAGTCAGGAAGACCTGGCTTCAGGTTCAAACCTGGCTTCAACCCTGCCTATGGGACATATTGCCATGTAGCCCTGGGCAAGTTGTTCATTCTTGGTGCCACCAGGAAACTCTCTAAGACAATAAATTGCACAAGTGCCTGACTTTATGTTGGGAGGGGGAGTTCCTTAAGAGCAAGGGTTCCCTATACTAGTGAAATCACAGGTGTGGGTTCCCCCCTGAAAAACAAAAAGAGTCAATTAAAATAAGATTTGCAAAAGAGAGAGAAAGAAAGAGAGAGAGTGGGAGGGAGGGAAGGAGGGAGGAGAGAGAGAGAGAGAGAGAGAGAGAGCGAACGAGAACTTATACCTAATATTGCAACGATGGAAGTGTTCTATCCTACAGTTTTTTCTTTTTGACCCTGCCACCCCAAACCCTTTTATGTGCATTAACCCCTAAATGTTTCTCTCTGTACTGAATGATTTGGGTAGTTGTTTTGGCAATTTATATGTTTTAGAGTGCTAAACAGTGCAGTGGATAAAACACTAGGCATGGAATCAGAAAGATCTGAGTTTAAATCTGATCTTAGACACTTGCTAGGTATTTGACCCTGGACACTTCACTTAACCTCTGTCTCCCTCATTTTCCCCAATTGTCATCGCCAGTCATCCTGACCTATATCTCACCAGATGGCTACTGAGGAGAAAGTGAGGCTGATGACTTTGCACTGCCATCCCTCACTTACATCCAAGTCACTTGCAAGTCATGGCATCACCTTCCTGATTTCATGGTCCTCTTTGAGAATGAAGGACAAACAACAACAACAATTGTATAATGGGTATAATAATAGCATTTGCCTTTCCGTGTTGTTGTAAGGATCAAATGAGATAATATTTGTAAAGCACTTAGCACAGTGCCTGGCATACAGTAGGTGCTATATAAGTACATGATGATGATGATGATGATGATGATAATGTTAAGTTACAGGGAAATGAAAGAAGCTGAAAGTTATTTTTACTTGATGATCCAACACAAGAAGTATCACAACTCAGCTACAGCTCAGTTTATCTTTCTTCTCCCTAAGAGACCATATCCAGGGGTGAGGAACCTGTGGCCTCAAGTGAAGTTTGGATTCAGTCAAAAGGCTGCACTTGAAGACCTAGAGGGCCACATGTGGCCTCCAGGTCTCAGGTTCCCCACCCTTGATTCTAGTCGATAATGCTTTTATTTTTTTTTTTTTAACAGATCAGGAGAGCAAAGTTCAGAGAAATCAAATAAATGACTTACCCAAGGTCACATGATTAATAAACCAGGTAAATCCAAGTTTCAAACCCAAATTTTCTGAACCCAAGGCCAGTGTTCTTTTCATTATGCCATATTGACTTTCTAGTATTTTTTTCTATCACAGTGGATGACTACTTTATGGTTAGAGATCAGTGGAAGAGTATAGTTATTCATTGTGTGGAATAGTTATATCCTCCCAAAAGAAACTACTTTTTAAAAGTCAGTTTTGCCATTGGGAAATAACTATCCCTTTTGATGGTTTCATTATAATTTTGCCTATGTATTATACCTGAGTTTTGGGCTCAAATCCTAAAAGATTATTGATTATTGATCTCATTTGGGTCTTAGACCTTAAAACAGCTTAAGAAATTTACTATTGATAAATGAAAAATATTATATTTGGATTCAAATAATCAACTATATAAGTACAGGATGGTTATGGTCAGACAACAGATCACATGGAAAGATCTGAGATTTTAGCTGTTCACAAACTGTCTACATTGTGACATCACATAAAAAGAAAGCCAACAAACTCTTAGGCTATGTTAATAAAAACACAGTATTGCTAACCAGAGAGGTGACAGTCCTATTGCACTCTCTTCTGATCAGTTCACTTGATTATTGGGTTCGTTTCGAAGAACATTGACAAACTGGAGTGCCTCCAGAAAACTGGGCTAGTCAAGAACTAATGGTTGTGGTTTAGGAAGATCAACAGAAAGAAGGGGGGATGTTTGGTCTGCAGGAGAGAAACCTTAGCTCAGTCCCACTATCTTCAAATATTTTTTTTTAATTTTTAGGCAATTGGGGTTAAGTGACTTGCCCAGGATCACACAGCTAATAAGTGTCAAGTGTTTGGTTTGAGGCTGGATTTGAACTCAAGTCCTCCTCACTCCAAGGCTCTATCCACTGTGCCACCTAGCTGACCCTGTCTTCAAATATTTAAAAAAACTCTTGTATGGTAACAGCCATATTGTGCAATGACCAACTCTGATAGACTTAGCTCTTCTTAGCAATACAATGATCTAAGACAATTCCAAAAGATTCAAGATGGAATATGCTATCCCTATTCAGAGGAAAAAAATTATGGAGTCTGAATGCAGATCAAAGCACACTATTCTCTCCCTCTCTTTTTTCTTTCTTATGGTTTTTCCCTTTTGTTCTGATTCTTCTTTCACAACATGACTAATGTGAAAATATATTTAATATGATTGTACATGTATAGCCTATATCAGATTGCATGCTGTCTTGGGAAGGGGAGAGAGGGAAATAATTTGGAGCTCAAAATCTTATAAAAGTGAATGTTGAAAACTATCTTTATATGTAATTGGAAAAAAAATAAAATACTATTAAGGAAAAAAAGCTATTGTGTGGAAGAGGCATATAAGTAGGCTAAATAGAGTTTGCCAGATTCATTTTTCCCTCTCCAATGTTTTTAATGCCTCCTAATGGCTTACTGGGGTTTCAGGGTCATTTGCACTGCCAGGAAATAATTTATGGTTTAGTCTTTTTTAGTTGCGCCTGATTCTTCATGACCCATTTTTAGGGGTTCTCTTGGCAAAGATAATGGAGTGGTTGGCCATTTCCTTCTCCAGCTCATTTTATAGATGAAGAAACTGAGGCAAACAGCATTAAGTGACTTGCCCAGAGTCACACAGCTAGACATGTCTGAGACAAAATTTGATCTTCCATCTTCCTAACTCCAGACCCGGTTCTCTACTCACTGTGACACCAGGATGCCCAGGAACTACTTACCCATAGGTATAACAAGAATGGAAGGGACAGATAGAAAGAGATGGGTTTATCCTCAGCCTAAGACAGACTAACTCGTTTGAAGGTAATAATTACACAGAAGGGCACCTGGCATTCATTCTGAGGAGGGGAAAAAGTGAGAGGAACCTTATCTCTACATAGATAGAATTTGTTACAGGGGACTTTCTGTTGAAAGGTCCAAAGTTGAAAGTACAAATAATTGCTTCTATTATCTCCTGAGAGGCAGAAGCGTTGGGGCTTTTCAGCAGCAGAGAAGTGCAGGTTAGCCAGAGGCACGAGACCTCCATGGTCTTAACATCAAATAATTCTCTAAAATCAACAACAGCTTTAGAGACAGTAGAAACAGAAGTAGGGTAAAGCTCCAAAGGATGGCAGCCAAGAAGACTGACATGGGGGTAGAGAAGGGAAGAACATAGATGCTAAGAATGGTGCTTCAGCAGATGACAGCTAGCTATGCCCCACTGAGCCAGTGGAGTGAAGAGTTTCTCAAGCTCTGCAGGACTGAATTCAGGGTGGAGAAAAGGAGTGGAGGAAATAGGTGGCCATGTGGATTCAGGCAGGTGGAGTGTTTTCACCTGTAATGCCAGGCAGGTGGCTGAAAGTCTCCCTTACCTTAGAATGTGAATCTGGCAGGAGTTGTTCCATGCCCTACCATTGCATGAGCATGTGGGAGAATGTGGCCATTTGTGTAGAAGGGGTGGGATAGGGAGGGAGGGATGAGAATGATTCCATTTCTTGGCTTTTTCTTCTCATTTTTTTTTCTTCAATTCTTGATATGTCTGTCTCAGCTGCATACTTTGTTATTTAATTTTTGATTCCTCTTCGGTTTGTGTAGAGAATATACTGAATGGGGCTCAAAGGATGCCCCACCGTTGAGCCCAAATTGCAGCATTCTTCCAGAGTGGGGTGGAATGCCTATCACAAGGACTCAGCTTGTTCTACTTGCTCAATGAACTAAGAGCAATGAAATTTGCAGAAAAGAAGATCAGTTTGGTGTAAATACAACTTTTCTAACAATTAGAGCTATCAAAAAAATGAAATGAGCCACTTCAAAAGGTAGTAGATTACTTATCACCAAAAATCTCCAAGTTGACACTGGTGAATACTGTAAAGGGAATTCTTGCTGAGGTATGGTTTGGACCAGAAGGCCTGAGATCCTTGCGTTCTCAGACTAAAGAAACCTCAGATATTACATATTTCAAGGTCCCCTCAGCTAAGGACTTGAAAAAGCCAAGGGATGAGGAGGGAG